AAACCTGCTAGCATACCGAATTCAGATTGCTAGGCTTCGCTGGCTAGGGCACATATTGCGTATGCCCAGCCATCGTCTGCCGCACCCTGCTTTATTCGCTGTAGCTAATCCGGGCTGGAGGAAACCTCGTGGAGGTCAACAGATGACGTGGAGACGAGGCATGAAGAAATGCACAGAGCCATTAGGTAGAGTAGGTGTCTCTCGCCTTCAAGGTTGGAGTCCGAAAGACTCCGCAACTGGTTGGTTGGAGACTTTGAAGGATATGGCAGCGAACCGTTAGCAGTGGCGTTCTTGTTGTTGTTTCTTATCAGGTCATAATGCTTGAAACGGTATGTATGCAGAGTTCGATTGCGTACTCTGTGTGTTAATCATAGTGGCTCACCTTCTTCTCCCTCCCTCAAACTAGATTCAACCCCTATCCACCTTAAATTTTACCACTAACCTTGTATGCATTGCGAGTTTGGCAGCGGTTAGTGAAGTTCGCTCCACTGTATTTCGCTGTACGATGATGATGATGAGTTTTCCAACTTGAGCGTTAAAATCATCTGCAAGAACAACTATATCAGGGCTTCGGTCCAACCGAATGAAGTCGGTGATTTTATCATAAAACTCATCCTTTTGTACGTTAGAGTTGGTCGGTGCGTACGCTGGAATGACGAACAAACACCTTTTGTTGTTGCTTCCCTTCCGGACGCTGATAGATCCTTGGAGTTGTATCGCATATAAGCGGCTGTCGACGGGAATCCAATCGAGTAGTGTGGCTTCGGCTGTATTGTTGAGCACAATCTCCACACCATGCTGGCCTACTGAACGGGCTTCGTCATCACCTTACGTGCGGAGGAAGAACCTCGAAGACCTCGCAGACGATGCCAAAATATGGAGGACAATAACAAAACCAGAAGATTCATTTGACCTCCAGAACGCCCTTGACGAAGCCCACAGATGGTCTATCTCCAATGATATTGGATTCTACGTTACCAACTGTAAAGTCGTATCACTACGTCACAACGGTCGTTTTCTCTACACTTTCAGACGCGAAACTCTGCCTCATGCTCCATCCGAGAAAGATCTAGGAGTTTTCATTGGCGCAGACTTGAGTTGCTCCATAAACTGTTCCCGGGCATCCATTGCGGTAAAGCAGGTTGGACTGCTCAAACGTGTTTTTGGGTCGTTTGAGCCGACTTTGTTTCCACGTCTGCTGATCACGTATATTCGTCCACATACTGAGTACTCAATTCAAGCCTCGAACCCATGGTTGCAGCGAGATCTGAAGGCACTCGAGCATCCACAGAGAATGGCTACCAAAATGGTCAAAGGTTTGCATTCCAAGACCTACGGAGAAAGATTACAGCTCCTGGGGCTATACTCATCCCAATATCGTCGAATCAGAGGCGATATGATTTTACTCTATCGGATTTTCCAACAACCCAACCACCCATGTAGATCTCTGTTGGTTTTATCACACAACGTTCATCTCAAAGGGCATCCGTTGAAGTTGGCACACCAAGAGAGCCGTCTCGACTGCAGACCTCACTCGTTTACAGTCAGAGTGTGCAGCACATGGAACTCTCTACCAGCTCACGT